AGTCTGCTAACATCAGTGACAATTTCGATTGAGCCAGATGGTTTGTTGATGGTTGATGTAGCAGCAGGTAACTGAGCACATTTCTTTGCAAATGGAAACTGACTCTCATCAAACACCACATGTCTTGTGATATAGATTCGACCATCATCAGCAAGACACTGAAAGCCTTTATGTCGAGTACTATAGCCTAATAAGGTGCATGGTTTGGACCTAAAGTCCAATTTGTGCTTCAAGTATGGTCTCAAATGAGGAAAACAGAGGCAACCAAATACTCTTAGCTGTCCATAAGCTGGTTTTTGATGAAATAGCTTCTCAAATGGTGATACACCATGCAAGACCCTTGTAGGCAGTCTGTTAATTAAATGAACTGCAGTAACAACTGCATACGCCCAAAATTTGATAGGCATCGACGCTTGAGCTAGCAACACAAGGGCTAGTTCTATCACATGACGATGCTTGCGTTCCACCACTCCATTCTGCTCAGAAGTGTGTGGACATGTGAGCCTGTGTGCAACACCTGCTTTCAACAAGCAGCTCGACAGCCTTCGATATTCACCTCCCCAATCGCTCTGAACAGCCTTGATGGGCAAACCAAACTGCACCTTAACCATCTGCTGGAACATTTCAAATGCACTAATTACTTGAGCTTTGTCTTTGAGCAGGTAAAGCCATGAGTGCCTGGTACATGCATCAACAAAGGTGACATAGTACTTGTAACCAGTCGAAGTAATATGTGAAGGTCCCAGAGGTCTGTGAAAACTAACTGAAAATGAGCATCATATACTGTTGTAGAAGCATGAAACGGCAATTTATGGCTCTTTCCCATTTGGCATGCAACACACGTTTTATTAACACTTGAAGGAAGAATTACATTTATTTCTTTACAAACTTTCACTAAGCTATCATGCGAAGGATGTCCCAAACGCTGATGCCACAAGTTATACACAGCTGTAGTCAGTTGTGTTGAGTAATTCTCTGCCTTGGAATTATCTTCAGGTGTTGAGTTAACTACAAAAGAGTATAAGCCACCATCTTCCTTTCCTCAAAGTAATATTGAACCGGTTTTCTCATCACGTACACAGCACTCATGCGCATGAAATTCAAGGAAAACGTTGTTATCCCTAGCAAGCTTCAACACCGACAGCAGATTCTTGGTTATTCTTGGAACATGCAACAGATCGGTTAACAACAGTACACGCGACAATGTAAATAGAGAAGATCTACCAACAGCTTGTACATCTAAAGCACCACCATCACCAACTAGTAATTTACCTGGATTATGAAAGTCCACTGTCTGTGAGATATTTGTGCCATCAGAGGTGACATGATGTGTGGCACTCGAATCCACCACCCAATGTTCACGAGCAACCTGTGACTTGAACTGATGAGCACCAGATTTTTGACTGGTATTGCAATCATATGAATTATCCTTGGCAGCATAGTACGCATTTCCTGACTCCTCCTTTGAATAATTGTTGTTGTTGGCTGTAACACCATGGAAGTCTTCATCAAACCGATGCCAACACCAGTCGACTAAATGACCTCGACCAGTCGATCGACCACGTGAGTACATTTGACGAGACACAGTGTTGCGATTAGACTGATCCACAGTCTTACTTGACATTTGCCCTTGAACCATATGTGCACTCATAGGAAGTGACTCAAGCGGATCACAAAACCCTGCTAATTGAGTCTCCGCATCCATCAGCATAGTGTAAATAGCGTCAAGAGACACCGATTCACGCATGGTTGTTATGACAGCCACAAAAGGTTGGTACTCACGAGGTAATCCCTTTAAAATGCTCGCAACATGCACTGCCTGTGACACAACACTGCCACACGATGCCAATGCATCGCACACTTCTTTAACGCGAGTAAGATAAACTCGCATGGACTCGTCTCATTTCTTAAGAGACTGAAGCTTGTAGTGCAAGCTGATGACCGCCGTTGTGGATCTGTTCGAGAAAAACTGAAGCACCGTGCTCCACACAGCAGAGGCTGTTTCAGCACCGACAAACTGAGGTAACAATTGTGGACTGATTGTTGACAGAAGCCAGGATGCAAGAGCACTGTCCTGAGCTACATATTCTTCATATAACTCGTTCAATACCTCCTCACCAATCACTAACCACCGTTTGTGACGGAGCAGTCATGGAGCCAGTGAGAAGTCGTTCAAGTCTATGGCTGCGAACGGTGAGAAGCACCTGTTGCTTCCACAACAGAAAATTTGATTCATCCAATACGACATTGACTCTTTTATTCGAGAAAGCCTTAGCATTCCTCGAAACCCCCTCCATTGAAGAAGCAAGCTGATCAACGCTCATTATGAGGACTCTTGTCAAGCAGCGGAAACAGAAGCGAGTCGTCCGGATCGTCCAGCGAAAGATACCATATTGAGATTTCCAAAGAAATGAAGTAATACAGAAAATGTATCTCACTTTTTTTATTTTTCAGTTAGATCTATTTATATACATCTATTAGCTGAGCTGGCTTAACAGCCCTTAACCAACTAACCAACTCACACCTCAACAACACACGTCTATATTCACACACAATCACACTCATGCATTACAAATATTCCAATAGAGCCGTACCTTCAAGCTCGGGAAAGGTATTCGGCAAGGAGATCCCTTATCGCCTTACCTCTTCAATCTGACAATGGAACGCCTCAGACACACAATCTCCAACCTCTCTCTTCCGGCGCTTGGTTAACCTTCAAATTAGCCCAGAATGGAACCCTGATTTCGCATTTTTTTCTTTGCCGATGATCTCATTTTGTATCTTAAGGCAGACTTGGCCCATGCCTCTTTGGTAGATGATGTTCTTTCCACTTTCGGAAAATACTCCGGTCACCAAGTTAGCAAGCAAAAAACAACCGTCTTCTTCTCTCCGAACAGGCATGTTTGCTTCCGTGATTCTATTTGTACAAAACTTGGCTTCCGGGAAGCGACCGATCTTGGAAGATATCTCGGTTTTCCTGTTCGACACTCCGAAAGATGGTTCTACCCTGGTGTTCGGCTCCTTTTGCCCCCGTCTTCAAGCGCTCCTCCACCGGGACAATCATGACCCCCTTATTTTCATATAACTCGTGCAATGTAAGGGTTGATGACTGCTCCTTTTATTATTGTCGTTGGTCTCGGGGTCTAATTTCAAAGACTGCTCCGTCTCGTGTTCATACAACCTTAGTAGTATCAACTTGGATCTATCTATTGCTCTTTGTGGAACCTGATGTCTGGTTCTTTCATTTCTCTCTTCAGCCTTGTAATATAAATTTTGAACGAACCACTCAAATGAAATAAGGGTAAATTGTAAATTTGGTAACTAAATTTTACTCTTTCTCCTATTTCACTTATTATATTTTAAATCTTTTTAATTTTCGCAATGAACTTGATACATTTGACTTTTTGGTCACATGATCGTAAAATGGTTAACGACGTTAAAGTTAACGATGTTAAAATGGACAGTTATATAGATGTAAAATGATATTGTTTTCGTTATTTTTTTTAAAACATCGTCTTTTTTAACGCCTCTAACTATTTAATGTCAGAGTGATCAAAATAGAAAAGAGAGTAAAATTCAGTGACCCAAAAAATCTAATGTATTATTCCTAATAAATACACCCTTTTATTTTCACTTCAACATCCTACTATAAAGATTTATTTAATTAAAACATTATTATTAATATACCAATAATTATTAAATGTTAGATTGAGATTGTAACAGTGACAGAGTCATGTAGGCCTCGGGGCCATTGCCCACAAATTTTTTTACCATTAAAAAATAAGGATAATAACTAATTTAGACCTTTAAATTTTGTTTTATTTTGATTTTGCCCCTCATTTTTATTGTTAATTATATTTTATCCCTCTGAACTAAAATCATGGCTCCGTCCCTTGATAGTAACATAATTTTATATAATAACTATTTCATTCCTCATAAGTTATACAATATATTAAATTATTTTAATTTGAAATAATTCAATATATTCAACTATTTATATGCATAATTTTAATCTTTGTTCGACTCCTAAAATATTTGTTCTTTCACTACAAATGTTAAATTATTTTATGTTTTCTTGTATAATAAACTACTGCTTTGATTTGATCAGCTTGATTGGTCTCCCGACTATAAGATATTATTTTATCAAGGCCCTCAATTATTAAAAGTACCAAAATGACCCTCTAACTATAAGGTGTTACCTTGTTGAGTCTCTCAACCATTAAAGGTTACAAAATGATTACATGACTATTCATTATGTTCCAAACTCGTCTATTTTTGTTAAAAAGTGGAGGGTGATATGAACATTAACCTGTTGACTATGATATGATAAAATTTGATCCTAAAAACTCATGACTATCATATCTTAGTCATCATGTTAACATTCAACTTAAACAACAATCAATTTTAAACAGAAAATGACAAGTTCAAAACATAATGAATAGTCAAGTGACCATTTTTAACTTTTAACAAAGCACCAATCTATAGTTGGAGAACAATTTTATAACTTTTAATAGTCGATGGACTTAATAAAGTAGTACCTTATAATCAGGGGATCATGTGTACTTCACCCTAAAATTTAATCTGTTTATATTTCTTTTAAAAATTTAGTATCCCTATATTTAAATTAAAAAATAAAATTCAATTGATAATACAATTAATAAACTTTCATTAAATGTAAATATGTAACATTTCAATATTCAAATGTATAGTTTAAAAATTCTCACAACGTTTTGACTGATAAAAATTTCTATTTGTGGAAAAAGATTAAATATAGGTATTTTGTAGTAATAAAACCCGTATCCTCCTTTCCGTTTTTGGTAAAATCGGAAATTAAGGGCGTTTGGTAATGGCCGATTAAATCAATGTAAGATCTGAGATTAACAATCAATTAACACTAATGATAATAATAATTAAGGATCTGAGTCTGTCACCTTGTTTAAGTGTTATTCTGATTTGGCTTTCAAGGGCTTGGTAGTTGACACACTCGCCGTCCACCGCCGTAATGTCCGCCGTGATGTGGATGATCATCCGCCGTGCCGGAATGGTTTTCATGATCATCTCCCTCTCCGCTTTGCTTCTTTATAATCCCTCCGGCCCCCTCCGTTTCCTTCGTTTGTCGTCGTCTTGCTCTCGTCCTTTGTGTTCCCAACCTCTTCCTCCGGTTCGTTCCTCTTCCTTTCTCACGTATAACGACTAAAGAGATTATTTAACCTGAGATTACCTATTTTGATCCGATAAAGTTTAGGGGTTTTAATAAAATTTAGATCAGGTCAGGTCGAATCTTGTAAATGACAATATCATATCGAATTATAAATAATTCATATTATAAATAAAACATCTTCGACCCAACCTGATTTAATGTATTAGTATAATTTCATCTAAATTTTTTAGATAATTACTATAATATTTCATCTCTATAGGATTTCTTTTTAATTAAGTTGAGTCAGAATTTTATCGAATGAATATATTTTTTTATATATTTATGTCGAGTCAGACCATGTTGAATTAAGAATGAGTATTTCACCTAGATTCGACAAGTTTCGATCTGACTCGATCCGGTCAAGCCAATTTTTTTATTTTGAAAATTTGAGTTCGGGTTGCATCAAGTCATACTTTTTAAGGATGTAGCCGGGTCAAGTTCAGATTTAGAGTGAAAAATTTGATTTGACCTGACATGACATACTATTATAATTATCTCCTAAATATTTAGGGATAATTACAATAATATCTTATTCTATTTTATTTTTTTCAATTAGATCCTTATTTTACATAATAAAAAATATATTTTTAATATATATATATAGTTCCGGTCAGATTGAGTGTGAGTTTTATCCTAAAAATCAAGTCAAATTTTGAGTTAAGTGAACTAAAAACTCAACCGACTCATAGCTATCCCTAGGTCGTGTAGGAAAATTCAGATTAGGTCGAGTGTAGATGGAAGGAAAGGAATGTAGTCCTCGAATTAGGTTTAGATGGAGAGTCTATAATTTTCAAATCAAATCAAGTTTAGATAAAAGATTTATACTTTTCGAGTCGAGTTAGTCACAAACCCGATCTAATCGATCATTTGCGAACTCTACCTAAGACCCAAGTTAGAATCCTTGAATATATTTACAATTAAAATCATTGTGGGTAAACTACGTAGTTAATATTTAAACTATCAATTTTAGACAATTTTAGTACCTAAACTTTTTTTAAATCGTACCTAACGTTTTCATTTCATTTCAGTATCCGTCGTTAAAAATATAACACATTTAACACCTAAACTATCAGTTTCTGTTCCTTTTAGTGCCTAAAGTTTTAATTTTTTGAAAACTTAACATAAAATTTTGAACGAGATACTACAATGAAACAAAACTAAACTTTTTAACGGTGGGGAACTAAAATGGATCAAAAATTAAATTTTAAGTATGATTTTCAAAAAATTGAAGTTTAGGTACTAAACACATAATTTGCCCCAATTGTTTTCTTCTGCAGAAAGCCCTTGTGAGGCTCAACCAAGTTCTGAAGAGAGCTTCGATGAAGAACAACACCGTCGTTCTAACGACGTTGAACAGTGCATGGGTCACACCCAATTCGGTGCTCGACATTTTTCTGACGAGCTTCAAGCTCGGAAACGGCACACGGAGGTTCTTGAGGCATCTGGTGATCATCGCCTTGGACCAGAAGGCGTACAATCGTTGCCGGATCGTGCACCGCCATTGCTTTGCCCTCCGCACCCACGGCGTCGATTTCCATGAAGAAGCTTATTTCATGACGCCGAATTACCTGAACATGATGTGGCGAAGGATTGATTTCTTAAGAATCATCCTCGAGCTGGGTTACGATTTCATCTTCACGGTATTCATCTTCTCTGTTTTTTTTTTCTCGAGGTAAAACGAGGGGTTAATTTTAAACTTTTTAAATATAAGGATCAAATCTTAAATTTTACCAAATTGTGAAAACCGGTGGCATATGTTAACCTTTTATACCTAAATAAATCCTTGGATAAACTATGCATTTAGTTTATAAACTATCAGTTTTAGTCCATTTTAATACCTAAAATTTCATTTTTTTTAAATCATACCTAATGTTTAGTTTTCATTTCATTTTAGTACCCGTTAAAATTTAACTCATTTAGTACCTAAACTATCAGTTTTGGTCCGTTTTAGTAGCTAAACTTTGAATCTTTTCAAAACTTAACATGAAATTTTGAATAGGAACTAAAATAAAACAAAAACTAAAGTTTTCAAAACTAAGGATTTGTCTAGCAAAAGTAATAAAATTCAGGTACTTGTTTAATATTTCACCTTTTAATTTTTGTTCTCTGATTATTTAACATGGTTGATCTTTCCAGGATGCTGATATCCTGTGGTTCAGGGATCCATTTACACGGTTCTTGCCCGACCCCGATTTCCAAATAGCTTGCGACTATTACAAAGGTTCATCCGACGACGTCGAAAACAACCCTAATGGCGGATTCTATTACGTAAAGTCCAACAACCGGACCATAGCATTCTACAGATTCTGGTTTTCTTCACGTGAAACTTATCCCAAACATCACGACCAAGCTGTTCTCGACAAGATCAAGTCCCATCCTTACATCTCGGAGAAAATCCGGTTGCGGATCAAGTTCTTGGACACGGCGTACTTCGGCGGTCTCTGCGAACTCAGCAAGGATTTGAACAAGGTCTGCACCATGCATGCGAATTGCTGCTATGGGATGCTTAACAAGCTCAATGACATGAAGATCATGCTTCAAGATTGGAGGACTTTCAATTCGTTGCCGCCTAAACATCGGAACGTGTCGATTTTCACGTGGCGAGTCCCTCGGTTCTGCAGGTAAACTCGGGATTGTTTTCTTTTAAAGTGTTTATTGCATGAAGAGCAACTGAAGAAGGGATTCCTGTTCTTATTCCAGGTTATAATGCAACCGTCGCCGGAGATATACCGATGTTCAACGAGATTGGAAGTTGTATTGATGTTTAAATTAAGCTTTCTTGGTCCCTCTTGACTTTAGTGTTAAGGCACTACATAGGTTCAATTTTGGTTCAACCCATGTCTGGCTTATGAACTTAAAAAGGTCATTCATAGTGCATCTACAATTTCATTTATTTATATATTATACACGTTGAAGTAGTCAATATTATACCGGTCGGTCTCCGGCAGCTAAAAGATCATTTCCGAAGCCCCGGAAAATTGTTCACATATCTGTTCTAAATTTCTAATCAGCTTCCATTACAGGAAACGTAATCTTACACATGGACAGCTAAACAATACAAGAAACGCTTATTTATAAGGATTCCCAATGTGTGCTATCAAATAGGCTATACAAAAATACCATGCATGGAAATAAAACCAACCCTGCATGACCAAATGTAAGAGAAAGACGTAAGATCGGTACATATATTGTTTATCAGATGCTAACAGATACATATAAAGTATGGGGTGCATGGAAAATTCACATCTGAATATTAGCTTCGTTTTTGGAAAGAAAAGTGATGATGGCCTAACCTTGCCATGCATCAAATCATCTCTCCAAGATCCCTGGAAGACATCCCCATTACTGAAATAGAATGTTCCCACACCTGACCTCTTACCATAGCGCCACATACCATCATAAATGTTTCCATCGCCAAGAACAAGACGACCCTATATAAAAATTACTCAACCGTCATCTGAGTTCAGCTCCCAATAAAATAATATACATCCTTCACAAATGGACACAAATGGAGTTCTGTCGAATAAACCAGGGCCATATCAAAGTACCTTTCCTTCGGGAAGACCCCCTTGGCATCGTCCCCTGTAGACTCCGCCTCTATAATGCATCTCCACAATAGGACTCCACTTTTTCGGCGAGTCTCGTTCGGCTTCCTGTATTAATAATTACAACCAAAATCTTAATGCACTCATCACTTAAATACCTTAAAGCTGAACGAAATGAAAAAGATTGAACATTAGAAATCACTTGAACAAAATGCAGATTACCAGCATAGAAGCCGCACGAGCAGAAAGTACTCCTTGCTTTTTAGGAATACCAGCCTTTCCCTTTAATACTGTAGATCCGTTGTTATAAATTTCCCTCATCGCTTCAAAACTTGCATCGGTCAATGCACCCCAAGGCCTACTTGAACTGGGAATTGATGGGGCTTTGACACCATTTTCAGATCTAGATTCTGAAAATTCCTTGGCATTCACTGTTTTAACACCCTCTTTCAGTTCTCCTGAAGACTTTTGCTCCGACAGGAAGGCGGAAGATGCAGAGATTATCGAGCACTGGTGTAGCTTCTGAGTCAGCTGCTCTTTCTTTGGCCCACTCCTTCGCAAGCTGATTCCCGGGACCCAAGTTCCATCAATTCAGTGATTCCCGACGGAAAGCAGGAATACCTGGACAACATTTTTGACCATAGTTCAGAATAGAAATGAGCTGATTCAGTTTTCTAATATGAAATATCTGCAAGTTCTTTAGAGGTTACACAGACGAACATGACTCATCAAATTGTTAATAGTTAATGCCATTGCTACCTTTCGAATTTTCCTCGTAATAGCTGGAAAAGTCAGTTTTTCCATCTAAAAAAGCAACCTCGTTTTGATCAGATCCACTGTCGTAATTTCTACAATAGATAAAACATTTATAACTTTATAAGTTTTTTTTTATGGAGAGGGAACCTTAAAAGACATTAAAGTACAAATGAGTTACAACTTAATCTCAAAGTGTAGATATCACCGAATTTGTTGTTCGGTACATCCTCAATTTCACTAGCGTCATCATCAAAACCTCCAGATATGCATTCTAAAGCTACTTTGTTTCCTATTTCATTGGAATCTGTCCTATTCATCGTCTTGACATCTTCTTTGAAAGTATCATTTGACAGTGAAGGATCTCTCCTCAATAGATTAAAAACAAATGGGAAACGTTGTGCTAGTCTATTGAAGAAGCCGTTTTTTGTTGAAGTTTGTTCTTCAAGATTACTGCAATTACAATAATTTGTTCTTACTTTTTAATCTATAGTTTTTCTCAGCTTCGTGGGGTTTCAAAAGAGATGATTGGTAGCTGAGAAAAATATTGAAGAACATAAGAAAAAATGGGGTTTGTTTCACAGATGGAAGCATCTTTCTCGTCAGAGCTTTTGTTTGGCTTTAGAGAAGATAGTCAACAACAACATTCCACATGACCAACTTCAGCTATAGGGCCACCTCCGCCATCGCTGTCACAGAAGAGAAAGAGAAACCAATCAGGAACACCAAGCAAGTATCCAAATAAGTAAACCCTAAGTTTAGAAGTGGTAGCACTGTCTCCCAAGAGCCTAATGGCAACAAACAGGTTCATCTGTGAGGTATGCAACAAAGGGTTCCAAAGGGAGCAAAACCTACAGCTTCACAAAAGAGGACATAATCTGCCATGAAAGCTTACACAGAAGACCATAAAAGAAGTAAAGAATAAGGTATATGTCTGTTGGATCATAAACTTGATCCATTATGGGAGCCTAAACCCAAACCCAAACTAAATTGATGTCATTGCTTACATCATTTAAGTAATGATGTCATTGTTTACATCAATTTAGTTAGGTGAGAGTTAGATATTTGTTGAATTTGTAATTGTTTAAATTAGTTTATTTGTGTGGTTTAGGATTGTTCTTGAGTAGTATAAATACCCCTCCCCATTTTAGTTTTAAGCATCAAGAAAAATTAAGAACTTCTAAGTGAGTGAAGAAGCAAAGTCTTATAAGAATGAGTTGTAGTTCTTGGTTTTGAGTGAGAGTGATCTTGTAATATTTGTTTGAGTTTCAATAAAAGTTGTTTGTGTGAGTGTTTTATTTCCAACAAAGTGGCATCAGAGCGACTTTGAAAGATCGAAGGTTTCGACGAGAGGAATTCGACGCCACCAGAATTTTCTCAATCTGAGTTTTGACGCACCGCCGGAAGACTGCTGCCAGAAAATCGAGTTGACTCACCGAGTTGAGCCGAGTCAGCCGAGTTGGAGCCCCTTGACCGAGTTGTCCAAGTCCCTCCCAAGGTTTTTCGGCGTTCCGGATTCATCCATGCAATCGGATTTTACAAAATCTCATTATATTGAGAGATATGGCAAATATTATGGCACAATTCCAAGTTTCGACACTCAACAACAACAACTACGACAATTGGAGTATCAAAATGAAGGCACTTCTTGGATCACAAGATGTGTGGGATATCATAGAGAAAGGCTATAACGAGCTTGTGGATGATGCTGTTTTTGCTACTCTTACACCATATCAAAAGACAACTTTGAAGGATTCAAGAAAGAGAGACATGAAGGCTCTCTACCTCATCTATCAAGCATTAGATGATGATGGTTTTGAAAAGATTTCAAGTGCAAGCTCTAGCAAGGAAGCATGAGAGAAGCTGCAAACCTCTTACAAAGGATCCGAGCAAGTGAAGAAGGTTCGTCTCCAAACATTAAGATGTGAATTCGAATCCTTACACATGAAAGCATCCGAGTCTATTTCAGATTATTTCTCAAGAGTAGTAGCTGTTTCTAATCAACTAAAAAGAAATGGTGAAAAGTTAGAAGATGTGAGGATAATAGAGAAGATACTCCGTTCGTTGGATCCCAAATTTGAGCACATCGTCGTGACGATTGAAGAAACTAAAGACTTGGAAGAAATGATGATCGAGCAACTCCAAGGATCATTGCAAGCATACGAAGAGAAGCATAAGAAGAAGCATGAGTTTACTGAGCAACTCCTCAAGATACAACTCAAGGATATGCATGAGAACCAACGCAATGATAGAAACCAACGTGGCCAAGGAAGAGGTCATGGACGAGGTGGAAGTCGAGGTCGTGGATGAGGCTGGAATTACAACAACAACAATTCCAAAAACTATGAGAAAGGCGAAAGCTCAACACGAGGCCGTGGAAGAATCAATCCGAACTCAAGGCATGACAAATCTCAAGTTCGATGTTATAATTGTCAGAAGTTTGGGCATATGCTTCAGAATGTAGAGCTCCCAACAACAAAATTGAGGAGAAGGTCAATTACGTGCCCAATATGAAAAGTAACATTTTAAGTTTAGGGCAATTGGTAGAGAAAGGTTATGATATTCATATGAATAATTATAATCTTTCTATAAAAGATGATAAGAATAACTTCATTGCTAAAGTGCCAATGCCAAAGAATAGAATGTTCTTGATCAACATACAAAATGATGTTGCAAAGTTCCTGAAAGCTTGCTACAAAAATGCATCATAGCTTTGGCATCTTCGATTTGGGCATCTTAATTTTGGAGGTCTAGAGCTGTTATCTAAGAAGGAGATGGTGAAGGGACTACCTCGCATCAACCATCCTGACCAGCTTTGTGAAGGGTGTCTAGTCGGGAAACAATTCAGGAAAAAACTTTCTAAAGGAGTCAGAGCCAAGAGCCAAGAAGCCACTTGAGCTCATCCATACCGATGTGTGTGGACAGATCAAGCCAAGCTCTCTCGGTAACAGTAATTATTTTCTTCTCTTCATTGATGATTTTTCAAGAAAAACCTGGGTATATTTCTTGAAACAGAAGTCAGAAGTTTTTTAAGTCTTCAAGAAGTTCAAAGCAGCAGTGGAGAGAGAAAGTGGTAGAAAAATCAAAGCCATGAGATCCGATCGAGGTGGAGAATTTACTTCCAGGGAGTTTCAAGAGTTCTATGAAGCAAATGGAATTCGTCGACCAATGACAGTTCCTAGATCCCCCCAACAAAATGGTGTGGCAGAAAGAAAGAACAGAATAATCCTCGATATGGCATGAAGCATGCTCAAAAGCAAGAAACTACCCAAGGAATTTTGGGCAGAAGCAGTAGCGTGTGTAGTCTACTTGACAAACCGATCTCCAACAAGAATTGTATGGGGAAAGACACCGCAAGAAGCATGGAGTTGAAGAAAGCCTGGCATTTCCCACTTGAGAACCTTTGGAAGTATAGCCCATGTTCACGTACCAGACAAGAGAAGAACGGAGCTTGATGATAAAAGCGAGAGTTTTATCTTCATCGGCTATGATGCTAATTCGAAGGGCTACAAGTTGTACAGTCCAAACAATAAGAAGTTTGTGATTAGTCGAGATGTGGTCTTCAACGAAGAAGGAGGATGAGATTTTAACTCTCATACAAATTACTTCAATTTCTTTCCTCAGTTTGAAGAAGATGAGCAGACAATGAGGGAACAACTAGATGAATCTCAACAAGAGCTTGCAACTCCACCCACTTCATCAACATCAACCACTCAAGGAGACTCATCACCTTCGTCATCGTCAAGTGGGAGTCAAAGTGAAAGAGTCGTGCAACGCACAAGAAGCCTTAGAGATCTCTATGAGGTAACTGAACGACAAGATAATCTTACATTATTTTGTCTGTTTGCTGATTGTGAACCAGTGAGCTTTTAAGAAGCGGTACAAGAAAAGAAATGGAGAGAATGAAGAAATCAAGGCCATCGAGAAGAATGACACATGGGAACTTACCTCACTTCCCAAGGGACATAAGGCAATAGGTGTCAAATGGGTGTACAAAATAAAACAAAACGCCAAATGAGAGATTGAAAGGAACAAAGCGAGGCTAGTTGCTAAAGGCTATAATCAAAAGGCTGGAATTGACTATGATGAGGTATTTTCTCCTGTTGCTCGATTGGAGACTATCAGACTAATCATTTCTTTGGCAGCTCAAAACAAGTGGAAGATACAACAGATGGATGTAAAGTCTGCCTTCCTAAATGGAGTTCTTGAAGAGGAAGTTTACATTCAGCAACCATCAGGTTACGAAGTCAAAGGGCACAAAGACAAGGTGTTGAAGTTGAAGAATGCTCTTTACGGGCTAAAACAAGCACCAAGAGCATGGAATAGTCGAATCGACAAGTACTTCCAAGAGAATGGCTTCAATAAATGTCCCTACGAGCACACTCTATATATCAAGATCAAATATGGAGATATTTTGATCGTGTGCCTCTATGTGGACGATTTAATCTTCACCGGAAGCAACCCAAACATGTTTAATGAATTCAAGGATGTGATAATGAAGGAATTCGAGATGACAGACATGGGGCTCATGGAGTACTACCTTGGCATTGAACTTAAGCAACAAAAGGATATAATTTTTATTTCACAGGAAAGCTATGCAAAGGAGATACTGAAGAAGTTCAAGATGGAGAACTGTAAGCCAATAAGCACACCGGCAAAATACTCGATCAAGATGACCAAACATGAAGAAGGCGAAAGTGTAGATCCAACATTCTTCAAAAGTTTGGTAGGAAGTCTACACAATCTAACTTGCACGAGACCCGATATTCTTCACGCAATTGGATTGTTTAGTCGCTACATAGAATCTCCAACAACCACCCATTTTAAAGTCGCAAAGAGAATTCTTCGCTATATGAAAGGTACAATTAACTTTGGTTTGTTATATTCAGTTTCTAATGATTACAAGCTTGTTGGATATAACGACAGTGATTGGGGTGGAGACATAGATAATCGAAGGAGCACTACTGGATTCGTATTTTTCACGGGAGATATTGCGTTCACATGGATATCAAAGAAACAACCGATTGTCACATTGTCCACTTGTGAAGCGGAATATGTTGTTGCTACCTCATGTTTTTGTCATGCAATTTGGCTTAGAAATTTATTGAAGGAGATAAGTTTGATACAAGAAGAGCCTACCAAGGTTTGTGTCGACAACAAATCAGACATTGCCTTATCAAAGAATCCAGTATTCCATGTCGAAGCAAGCACATCGACATTCACTACCACTATATAAGGGAGTGTGTTGCAAGAAATGATGTGGAAGTTGAATACGTGAAGTCACAAGATCAAGTTACCAATATGTTTACCAAGCCACTGAAAAGTGAAGACTTCATAAGATTAAGGAACTTACTAGGGGTCACAAGATCAAGTTTAATGGGGGTGTTGGATCATAAACTTGATCCATTATGGGAGCCTAAACTCAAACCCAAACTAAATTGATATCATTGCTTACATCATTTAAGTAATGATGTCATTCTTACATCAATTTAGTTAGGTGAGAGTTAGCTATTTGTTGAATTTGTAATGGTTTAAATTAGTTTATTTGTGTGGTTTATGATTGTTCTTGAGTAGTATAAATACCCCTCCCCATTTAGTTTTAAGCATCAAGAAAAATTAAGAGCTTCTAAGTGAGTGAAGAAGCAAAGTCTTATAAGAGTGAGTTGTAGTTCTTGGTTTTGAGTGAGAGTGCTCTTGTAATATTTGTTTGAGTTTCAATAAAAGTTGTTTGTGTGCGTGTTTTATTTCCAACAATGTTTGCCCTAAGCCAACATGTCCACCATGACCCGTCCAGGCCACTAGGTGACCTTA